ACTATGAGTTATTAGGAAAGTACAAATCAAAGCCACAATGAGATGTCACTTCACACCTATCTGGAAGGCTCTAATTTTTAAAATGCAAAAATAAAAAGTGTTGACAAGGATGTGGAGAAACTGGAATTCTCATACATTACTGGTGGAAATGTAAAATGGTGCGGCCACATTAAACACAGAGTTACCATATGATAAACAATTCTACACTCATACACAAGAGAATTAAAAACATATGTTCACACAAAAACTTATATACAATGTTCACAGCAACATTATCCATAGTAGCTCAACCCATGAATGGACAAGTAAAATGTGCTGTATCTACGGACTGGATTACTATTCAGCTATGAAAAGAAATCGAAGTACTGATACATGCTGCAACATAGTTGGACCATGAAAACATTATGCTAAATGAAAGAAACCAGACACCAAAAGTAATATATTGTATGATTCCACTTACATAAAATGTCTAGATTAGGCAAATTTATAGAGACAGATCGGTGATCAGTGGTTTCCAGGAGATAAGAGGAAGTTGGGTTTGAGAGGTATGACATTTCTTTGGAGGAGGGGTGATTAGTGGAGAATTTTTGGTAATGGTTGCACAGCTTTGTGAATATACTACATTACTGATCTGCATACTTTAAAATGGTTAAAATAGTGAATTTTAGATTGTGTAAATTTGACCTCAATAAAAAAAGTTTTAAAAAAATACATTTTATAAGAAAGACAGACAGACATTTTGGAGCCTTAATGTGTAATAAAAGTGCAGGTAGCATCAAAGTCAAATAGGTTAAAATCTTTAACATATATAAATTATCCTGTGCCTTTAAAGAAGGCTAAAAGTCTCATATTGTTGCCTTCTTCACCCTGCTCAGTCTCCTATCGTGCTAATTCTTCCTTAATATTATCATGTAGGTCCACTCTTATTTCCACTACCATCCAAACCAAATATCACTTATCTAGTTTCCTTGCCAAGGTCTCACCCTGTTTTAATCTACCCTATATGAAATTTATCTTTATAAAAATATTATTTTATACATTTTGTTCCCTTATTTCTTACTAAAAAATTTTAATGGCACTTTTAAGTTACCATAAATAATGTGTCATAACCAAACTAACATGGCAGATAAGTCATGGATAAAGAAACATTTAAAACCAAATGTTCTACCATTTTATCAAGGGCTTGCGCAAAGGTATATCATAACACTCTCTTGGCACAAGTATAAACTGATATAGCCCTTCTGGAGAAAACTCTGAAAAGCATGCATTAAGAGGCTTTAAAAAGGTGACCAGTTAATTCCATTTCTAAATACATCATATTTAATAATTATGTTCAGATCATCTCCCATCTCCCACCACTAACACATCCACCCAAAAACATCCCAGGTGCATGTTGATTTACCACTTGATAATCTTTTGAGTCTGTCATCCATATGCATAAATTGACATAATACTATCTACTTCCTAGTACTGTGAAAGAAGCAAATGGAATAATGTTTGTAAAATGCTCTATATCATAGTCTAGCACTATGTCTTAACACGCAGTTGAATGCTCCAGAGTCATGGCCAGACTCATGCAATAACCTAAAGTTGCCACTAGATGGAGATTTTACAACTTACTTGTGCTGTTAGGAAGGCAAAAATTAGTAAGGTGCTAGAAATGTGCCATCCCTTTAACCAATCTATCTGTTATTAATCTAGTATTACTTGTTTAACTAGCCCTTTACATTTTCAAGAACCAAACAGCATTTAGAGCAATCATACAAAGAAAGTCAGCTATCAGGTAAAGTTCTTTTCATTGTTAATCCTTTAGTTTTATATTTTATAAGAGAATAGAAACAACAAAATAGCTAATTTTTTTTCATTAATTAATGGTCTTTCTTCTAGCTTACGTATCTAAAGTCTAACAAAGCTCTACACATTCTTGCTTAAGAAACAATTAGAGAAAAATGGTAAAGAGTATTACTTCTGAAATCAGATGGATCTGTTTTCAAACTCATTTTCTACTTAAAGCTGTATGAACTTGAGCAAGTCACTCTATGCCAAACATTGTTCTTCACACTATGTTCTTCGCATTATATTCTTATCGAATCTTCATTACATCTCTTATAAAGTAAATAGTATCATCTCTTTCTTTCAGAAGTTATCTAACTTCTAGCTAAATAAACATTATTCTTTTTCTGAATATCTCTTTCTTTCAGAAGTTATTTAACTTCTAGTTCAATAAACATTATTCTCTTTCTGAAAGAAAGAGATGAGGGGCACCTGGGTGGCTCAATCGGTTAAGTGTCTGACTTTGGCTCAGGTCACAATCTTGCAGTCTGGGAGTTCAAGCCCCCCATCAGGCTCTGTGCTAACAGCTCAGAGCCTGGAGCCTGCTGCAGATTCTGTGTCTCCCTCTCTCTCTGCCCTTCCCCTGCGCATGCTGTCTCTCTGTCACTCAAAAATAAATAAACATTTTTAAAAATTTTAAGAGAAAGAGATGATAGTGTCTACTTTATAAGAGATGCAATGAAGATTAGATAAGAATATAATGCAAAGAATATAGTGTGAAGAACAATGTTTGACATAGTGTGGGTGCTCCTCAAGAGAATGTCTTATTTAGGAACTAAATACTCCCTCAGATTCTACCAGGACAATATAAGCTTGTTTTCTCTCTGTTCTCTTCACTTCTTAGGTTAAGAGAACCATAACACATTGTAATCTTAACCTCCAAAGCTGGAAATTAAACTATTGTCTAGAAACAATGAGTTCTCATCATCAGAGATAAACATAACCCCAGCTTCATAATTCAATTTCATCCTAAATACAGTCCTCCCAAAATACTGATCTTTTCACATTAACATCATATCAACCTCCCTGCTGAATCGTTGTCTTTTATTGGTTTATATGATACTCTGTTCCTCTGGTTCTTCTCCTCACCCTTATCTCTGATGCCAAATGTTAGTTCTTTCTTCAGGGTCCATTTCTCTTCTCCTCCTACTTGATCTTATCCCATCCCCCAGTGATGAACACCATCTACATTACCAAGGGTCTAAAACTTATAACCTTAGTCCTGAATTCTCTTTTGAGCACAAGACTAATTAGTCCCCACACTCATTACTCTCACGGCAACCTGTTATTTTCCTATAGAGCACTTACAAAATGAATCTGTGTGTTTACCTACTTAATGTCTATCTCCCCAGTCAGACTGCCCCGTGAGAACAAGAACCATACCTATATGGTTCAACACCAAAAACCCAAGAATCTAGATAGTGTCTAGGCCTAAGAAGAGCATTCAACAAACATTTTTTCAGTGAATGACCAAATGAACCTCATATTATATAATAGTTTTTTTATAAATGCTACAGTGGAAATTAAATAAAGTACAATGAAAACACAGAAACTAAAATCATAAACCTGACTGAAAAAGCTTAAATGAGCAAATTATATACCATCTGAGTAGCATTTTTTAAGAGCTAATACAAATGGTTCTCCACTCTGGTTAGAATCACTGCCAAGGTCCTTCTGCACATCAAATCAAAATCTCTGGGGCTTGGGCATATGTATTTTTAAAGCTTCTCAGATGATTCTCATGTAAGACTAAGCAGAAAGAATAAGAGAGCATAAGCCAAAAAAGGCACTAACATGAACAAAAGCACAGGAATCAAGAAAAGACACTGCATGCACTATTCAGGGGCACCTGGTGGCTTAGTTGGTTAAGCCTCCAACTCTCGAACTTCAGCTCAGGTCATGATCTCACAGTTGTGAGATAGAGCCCCACGTGGAACTCTGCACTGGGTATGGAACCTACTTAAGATTCTCTCTCTCCCTCTCCTTCTGCCCCTCCCCCAAGTGTGTGCAAACGTGTGCACGCACATGCGCTTTCTCTCTCAAAAAAAAAAAAAGAATGCTATTCAATCCAATGAAGACATGGAGATAGATAGAGGGGCATAGATGGAAGATGAATTATAAGAGACAAGTTAAGGGCAAATGATAGAGGATCTTTTCAAATTTGTTTTAATGTTTATTTATCTTTAAGAGACACAGAGAGAGTGAGTTGGGGAGGGGCAGAGAAAAGGGGATACACAGAATCCAAAGCAGGCTCCAGGCTCTGAGCTGTCGGCCCAGAGCCTGACGTGGGGCTCAAACTCACGAACCATGAGATCATAACCTAAGCCGAAATCAGATGCTCAACCAACTGAGCCACTCAGGCGCCCCTATGATGGAGGATCTTATGTGTCTCTATAGGAAACACAGATGTCCCCTGTAGAAAGATGAGAACTTTTAATGATTTTTAAGCAAAGGAGAGATATGCACAGAGCTTAGAAAAGTAATTTAAGTATTGGGACAGATTAGAGTAGGTGGAATCTAAATTCAGAAGAACCAGTTAAGAAATTATCTTAACAACCTAGATTATTTTTAATATATGAAGAAATAAAACACAGGAAAGAAGTGGTAGGGAGAACTTCTGGAACAGAAGAGATATTTCATGGTATCTTATTATAGTCTGAACACAGCTGGCACAGCAGGGAGAGAAAGTATCCATGCTGGATAATTATATATTTTCAGACACCATTAAATGACATAAAGGACTTGGTATGGGCAGATGAATTTAGAAAGTTAGGGGCCTGAGAAAATTCATGTACCTATATAAGGAGATCCACATGAATAACCAGAGCTGTTGGAAATTTGAACCTGGCTACAGTAACAAAGTTGTAAGTCATGTGCATTTGGAGAGTAGCTGAAGTCATGAGATAAAATATAAATCTGCTTAAAGGAACTCATATATTTAAAGAATATAATGGAGGAAAGCCTCATAATAACCCTGTGAAGAAGGGCAGACTTTAGTATTCCATTTCCATTTTCTTTTGTTTTGTTTTTTAAAAAATAAGGAAAAAGACTGAGACATTCAAATAGTTTTAAATGAGTTGACCAAGTGACTTAAGTAGAAAGAGGCAGAGCCAAGATCAGAAAGTAGGGCTTCAAAATATTCCCACTATAAAATCTTGTCCAGCATGCTTACTGATACAGGCTGGCAGGTTGGTCTCCATGAGATCCATATGGCAAAATCTCATTCAAGTTCTTAGTTTAGTAGGGTCAGGGAATTCCATTTTTCTGGATTATCCAAGGATTCAGGAGACCCATCAAACCAGTACTTTAAAATGCAAAGGTAAAATATATATTTGTACACAAAGACACACACACATGCAATTACAAGTGATCATTTTCTTATCCTAGAATTTAAGAATTTATATTGCTGCTATGCTACTCTTAAGATTCCTTTCATAAACAATTGGAAGCTGAATGAAATGTGTACTAATTTTGTGCTTGGAATCTTAAAAATGGAAACTGTCTTGAGAACTATTCCCATTCCTTGAAAGACAAGAAACATCAGGCAATTAATTGATAATGGGTAAAATGAAGCAATGAAAATGAATGTGGAGACTTACAAAGCTGCAAGGCTATATACATGGTAAGGGAAGGCTGCAAAGATCTGAAAATATAATGAACTCCTACCTGCCTAATAATAATTACTGTCTCAGGTCAGCTTTCATAGACCTGAATTCACAATTAAACATTGTCCATTAGTATATATGAGTAAAACCAATGTTTTCACAAATATTTTTCTCAAATCACTTTTTTAAAGGTAAAGACAGAAATTAACAAAAATATTTCAACATACCCTAACTTTACAATGTGATAAGAGCCCCCACATTGGCTGTGCACAGGCCTCAAGTTCAGCAGCAAAGGCAGCATAGTAGGTCTGAGACTCAAATTCCACATGCTCATTTAGTTCTCGCTTGTTTAAGTTCATACCTTGCAAAAATTAAAGCAGATATAAACCTTGCCAAATGGAAGCAACTATTCATATTAAAAGTCAAGTAAAATACTTCTGAGTACCAAACACTTCAGTGCACACAAATGGCATAAATGGCACAGTATGTATAGAAATAAATATTTAAAATAAAATAATCTAGTCTTTTTGGAAGTTTTTACAAGCTAGGTTTTCTTAGGAACACTTTGTGAATTGTCTCCTTTACAACATAATTGAATATGTTATGTAAGAAACTCAAAACTATTTTAACTGACAGTAACTGAAATTTTATGAAAGTGTTATAAATCTTTCTTGGAGAATAGATTAGAAATTTCCAGATTAACGGTTTAAAGTGCTAAAAAAAATTATACTCCTGTTTCCTTTTTAATAATTTGACATTTTTCATAACTCTGACATATTTTCATGAACACTTGATTAAAGTACTTAGAAATATTAATTAAAATGAGACATTTCACGTGTAACCTGAATGGTATCTTATTATCTTTTAATTAGCTTATTTGATAGTTTTGCATTAGGCATTTTGTAAACTAAAAACTTAACAAAAAAAGTAAAATTCATACCTTGAAAGAAGGATACAAAGTTCATCCATGTAACTAACAAACCATGGTCCTCCAAAAATCTCTTAGCCACACTTTGATGAGAAAGGATATTAATAAAATCACTGACAAGAGGCCAATAAGTGTTATTCTTCAGTAATGCTTCTCCACAGTTCACTACCACATGCAAACTATTTTCTTCATCTAAAACAGATACACACAGCCCAGCAATAAATAAGTTAAAAACAAAACAAAACAAAACAAAACAAAACAAAAACTTTATCAATGATACAGATTATGTATCGGGACATCTAAATTCAAACTCCAGCCTGACATATGGTGTGTTACTTATACTCTGAATCAATTTCCCCAACTGTAAAATGGGGAAAAGACACATACCTTAAGGAAATTAAATGAAGCACTATCATAATACTTAGTACATCATTATAATAAGTATACCACTTGTCTGACATATTACATGATACTGAGGTAGCTATATGTTCATAAAACCTTATTATTTTCTTGATTTTAACAACATAATGCAGTATCTTCAGTTCTAATCAGTAAAATATTTTTATTCTTAGATTAATTTTATTCCATTTTATCAAACAAATCTGTATAAGTGATATGTATTTAGTTGCTTTCTTCTATTCAAAAAATACATAGTTTTTTAGCAAACACGGTGTTTTGAAAATGAAAGATACACACATAAATAAACTTCTTAAGCCTTTTAAAAAAATCTTCAAGGTTTAAATACATTATTGTGGGTGGGGAAAGATTAGGCATGTACAAAATCTTTACTATTAGAAGTTACAGCATATATGCATTAGCTCTCTTAACCTGTTCCAACTTAACTGATTCACTGCACAAACGAGCTCCCCATTCCTACTATAAAACATACTAATACCCCAAGATTTTTTAGCATTTCTTAGGCAGTTACTTTTTTGTCTCTCAAAAGCTTTGTAATACCTCTTTATGCATTCATATTTCATCAGTTTATATATATTTAATTCAAATTTTATAATAAGAACATTTAACATGAACAGAAACAAAAACTGACTCTGGATAAACATATATGCTAAAAAATCTTGGAGAAAAATCATAAAAATCTAGGATTTTACACTCAGATGGATTCACAAAGATCTTTATGTTCTAACTTTGAAGAAAATGAAACTGGAAACCACAGATGATGCTTTGCACAAGTGGTACATGTAAGAAAGATGAGGGAGAACTCCAGTCAATGAAACTGTAACTTAAAAATGCTTTGCCCAGGGGCACCTGGGTGGCTCAGTCGGTTGAGCGTCCGACTTCAGCTCAGGTCATGATCTCACAGTCTGTGAGTTTGAGCCCCGCATCGGGCTCTGTGCTGACAGCTCGGAGCCTGGAACCTGCTTCAGATTCTGTGTCTCCCTCTCTCTCTGCCCCTCCCCTGCTCATGCTCTGTCTCTCTCTGTCTCAAAAATAAATAAAAACATTTAAAAATAATAATAAATAAATTTAAAAATGCTTTGCCCAAAATTAACAGATTGGAGAATCAACGTGCATCTCTGTGTTTTTAGTTAAAAATGCAGTGTTTAATACATGCATGTAACCTGTTTTAATGATTCCTCACTTTAACCAAGTTTTTCAACTAACCATCTACTTGTCAAACTCATCAGTGAGAGGTTTCTACAGCAATTCTTAATTTCCATACATTAAATTTAGGTTTCAGTCCATGAAATTATTTTACTCAACTCTTAACTTACAACAATATACAAGAACAGGACCTGCGAAGTTAAGTATGCTCTCTTTCAGTGCCTCTCAATAGGACGAGAGAGGGTGTAACTGAATGAAGGAGTGGGGGTAAGAGGGTGATTACAAATCATCCACACCTGAGATTAGAAAGCCCTCCCTGACTACTACCGCCATCACCATGGGCTATAATAGGAAAAGTATAAGAAGTCGTAAGAACAAATACAGCTAGAAAAGACTCTCCTGAGGAAGCAATGTTTAAACTAAGATCTACAGAATGAAGGAGGAATTAGAATAAGCCAAATAAACTAGGGATGGGAGAGGCAATGGTGTTCTAGGTAGAGGAAGCAATATAAAAAAGGATGGAATCACTGGGACAAAGAATGCAGAAGACGGGTGGCACAAATGACGCCAGAGGGCCTTATAAATCAACTTCAGGAGTCTGGAGTTCACATGAAGAGAATGGCAAGCCACTGGGGGTAGGGTTGAGAGATGGGGACATGATCAGATGTGCAGTATAGAAAGTAACTCAAGGAAGGTGGTGACGGCTACTAGTATGAAGCCTAGAGATGGCGATGGCTTGAACTATGGTGGTGGCATGAAGATGTAAAGATGAAGAGAAGTGGCTATTGTAAGGTGTTTACAAGGTTAAAATGACAGATTCGGTGATGCTCATTATATCTACAAGGAGTAAAAAGTCAAAATGACTCCTAGGTTTTTAGGTGAGGCAGCTGTGTAAGTAGTTGGACAGGGGTACTAAAACACACAGTGTACTCACATACACATATAAATACACACATTCACACACATGCACACACACACACACAACAGAAAAGAAGCAGGCTTGATAGAGAGATAAAGAGTTCTTGGTGTGGACATCGTGGGTTTGAGGTACACAACTGGATGTTTGAGACATCCAAAGAATATAGCACAATAAACAGTTTGATGTGCAGAACAGATCGATCTGGGATTATTACCAATTGCGGACACTCCCATAGTTATGCAACATATGGTTTTAAAGTTCCTATTTTACACAGACTGTTTCATAATACAAATTGTAAAATTTCAGGGACATCAATAGTTATGTTTGGAATTACAAAGGAGTATGGTGTAGAAATGAATACAACAGAGTAAAAGTGTAAAGTAGGGATTGCATACTACTAGAGGCTTTTTCCTTTTAATCTTCAACTATTGCTGTGGCCATGTGAATTCTCATTATATGAGCGTCTATTTACTAACGATATATACAAAATTTTAAAATAGTGTCTAACGAAAATTTATGAAAAAGCCTGATAGATCTATTTAAAAATAAAAACAAAGTACAGGGATCCTGTTGTAATATCTGTAGCAAGTTATAGGTAGTTCAAAATATTTAAAGCCCGTTCCAATACTCGATGTAAAAACAGGAAAGTTTATGGTGTTTTTAGAAGACCATCAAGCAGGTATCATGAAATGTTATGCTACGTTGGAATAAAACACCATGAGATCTAAAGAGAATATTAGGCCTTGGCTTAGAAATAATGTAATTTACTGCTAGAAAAAATACACTTGTATTTAAAGATCTTAGCAATGCTACTGATAGCTATTTAGCTTCTAGAAAATTCAATTTGTGTTGAATTTCCAAGACAGATTAACTGCATTAGAAGGGAAGTATATACAGAAAGCAAAACAAGACTTTGCAATATAAGTTCATAAAATATGGGTAAAGTAAGAAGAACAAACATACCAAGACAAAGTGCCAAAAAACACCAATGTTGACAGGACAAGCTGAAGAGTTCTGGGTCACAGAAAGAATAGACAATCAACAGTGTGAAATGCTACGGAAAATTAGGAAAGATAAGGTCGAAAGAGTGGCCATGGGTTTCCCCCATGTAGGTCATGGAAAGGGTGACCATATAATTTATTGTATAAACTGGGACTCTTTTGAGAGTAAAAGGGATTGTATGAATAACTACATCAGAACAACAGACATTACTTGGAATTGTTCTGGGGAAAGTAGGACATGCAACCACTGGAGTCATGGACAATTTTGGAGAGATCAACAGAATGATAGAAGTGGACACTAGACACTAGACCTCTAGTCAGTAACTGAGTGCCTGAAAAGCAAGGAAACAAACAAACTCTTTCAGGAAATCTGGCTGCAGAAAAAATATGAGACAGATTCAAACACATCTTCTCAAACGTTCTTCCTTGAAGATCAAGTGCAAACTATATATAATAAGCACAGCTAAACCACTTAGTCAAGAAAACAGACCCCAGATTCTTTTCAAAAGAGCAGATACTTCTAAATTTTAAGTTTTCTAGTCTATAAAATAAAAATACTTTTTGTGAAAAGTCCTTCTGTAAATAAATAATTCTATATATAAGAATATGACTGATATGATATTAGATACTGAACTGAATGATGATAGATACTATTTCAAAAGAGAACAAACAATACATGTAATGTATGTAACTAAATCTCAGAAAGAAAGGGTCATCTTACATGAAGACAGAAAAACTATAATACAAAGCACCTGTTAAATTTTCCTTTAAAAAAAGTAAAGAGATATATTGCTTAATGTAAATAATGTATCATGCTCCCACTATACCCACAATGGAAGACAGAATCACAGAGTGGGCAAAAGAATGGGTGTAAGTCAAACACCCAGCCTTACTACTTACAGCTGTAAAACCACAGATGATTGACTTTAACTCCCTAAGCCACAGTTCCCTCACCTATAAAATGGAAAAAAACAAAATCTACTTCTTAGAACTACTAATGGTTAAATGACATAATATAAAGAAAAAGAGCATAGCATATAGTGAGTGCTCAAAAGATGGTAGCTATCATATTAGCTAGCTATTATTAGTATATATAAGGCACTGTACCCTGCACTGAGCATATATCAATTTTCAGGCTATGATATCACAGGAGAATATAGACAGACTATCAGAATAGAGAGAAAATAGGAGCTGATATGCAAAAGAAGGTAACAATGGAACAAGGCGTTTCAACTACAAGATCTCTCTTCCAGAGAAAATGGAAAAGTCCTAAGATTTAATCTGAGGTACTGTTTGTTGTTAAAGTTTAGCTCCACATGCCAACAAGTGAAGATACACTGCTATCGATATTGACCTGCCTTGTTTCATGGTTAAGGGCAGATTCTGACATCAGGAGATATGAAGTCCTTGGCTCTGTCATTTACTAGCTGGCTTATCTATGGTAAATGACTTAACTTCTCTAAGACTCAATTTAACTCATCTATAAAGTGGGGAAAATAATAATACCAGTCTCAGAAAAGAGTTCCGAAGCTTAACTGAGACAACATATGAATGGTATTAACACAGCGCCTCATACATAGCAAATACTCAAATAATATAAATTATTACAGGGAGGCAAAGTTAAGATGAAAGACCACAGTGAAATGAGAATAGGAGGAGGCCCCAGAGACATTACGGCAGTTTGAGGAATATCAACCATATAGTGGACACAAAAGAAAAAAACTAAAGACCTCACTATGGGAAAACAAAAAAAGGCAATATTTATTTCAATTTTTAAATTATAAAACTATAGGCATATAAAAATGTCTAAGGCTGATAGTTAAACTTATAATAAAAAAAAGGAACATGTGCAATAAAGAAATGGTTAAATTATGGTAAAGTCATATGATATTAGTAACTGCAATCATTAAAAACCATGTTCCCAACACGTACACTATGGTAGTGTATTTTTAAAGTATTGTACCATATATTAAAGTATTATTTCTATCTGTAAATACACTCCTATCACACAAAAAGACAGAAAAGAAATATCCCCAAATGTTAACAGCTGTTTGTAAATAACTAAGCTATAACTAATTTTAAAGTTTGTCTTTAAACTTTGCTGAAAATTTTCAAAAAAATTCTTTAACAAAGATGTATAATTTTACAATATTTTTAAAGTTATTTTAAGCATATAAGGAGGTTTTTAAGACTAGTTACACAAAGTATACCAATAATAAAACTAGTGAAATAATTCTGAGTTTACCTTGTAGCTCACTTTTAATAAGGCAACTTTCCATCATGTATAATAGCACAGTAACCATAATATCCAGCAGCTGACATTCTTCTGTCACCTGTCTGGCTAGCTCTTCATTGCTGAACAACTGAACACTAATATGCACAATTCTGTTAGACATTGTGTCGGATTCATGACTCTTCTTCAGTGTTTTCATAATGAAAGCGTAATGCTGAACAAAAGTTTTTGTAAAAGCAACCTGTAAATTTTTTAAAATAGGGGGAAAAAAACACAATAGTTTAGAGTTTTACAACACAGTTTCCAATACATTATGTTAGCATTTTAAAGCTATTACTAGCTTGTGATGACACCCAAGATAATTTTAAAAGTAATTTTAATGATGATGGTAGTCACATTCTTTTTTTTTTTTTTTTTTTTTTTTTTTTTTTTGGAACATTAGCAAAATACTTGGATGGTTAAAAAAAATTTAATTACCATTTTAAATCATTAAAATTTTAGAGCAATTATAAATACCATGATTTAAAAACACAAATTTTCACTTTGCTTACAAATAATATCAATTAGCTAATGTCAAAATAGGTGTCACTGTTTTGTTTAACAACAAAATCTAAAGTCTCAGCTAAAAACCATACCAGAGGATGTAATATAACTAAAAAACAAGGGTGTCAATGTGATTACTCCAAAAGAAATGTATTCCGCTATTTGATTGGAAAGCTGACCACTACATGACTAAATAAATACTCTTTCTGGGGCACCTGGGTGACTCAGTCGGTTAAGCATCCGACTCTTGGTTTTGGCTCAGATCATGATCTCAGTTTGTGAATTGGAGCCCCGCATCCTACTTGGGGTTCTCTCTCTCTCAAAAAAAATCAATGAACTTAAAAAATTATTAAAAATAAAAAAAAAAAAAACTGTGTAACATGTACATTTCCTCTTGTTTTCTTAACTGGGTATAATGACACAACACAATGGCATTATTCATTAAAGTTTAACTCCTAAAGAGACTTTACTATCTAAACCATAAGAAGAACTACAGCAATCAATCAATCAATGAAAAACAATAACAACAACAACTACTACTACTACAACATAATTTATTTTCTTTTCATGCATGCAGTTGTGTCACTTTGCCATAACTACATGGTAGTCACAGGTGTGGGTCCACACCTTCTGGGACTAGAGCCTTCAATACCTACATGCGTATATAAGTCAATACCTGTTCTGTCTTTAACAGTATGGCTAGCAATTACTAACCCCACGATTTTCCCAAACCTAACCCCACAATACATTTTTTTAAGTAATCGCTACACCCAACATGGGGCTTGAACTCATGACGCCAGGATCAAGCATGCTCTACCAACTGAGCCAGCCAAGTGCCCCTCTAACCCCACAATCCAAATTCAGTTGCCCCCTTAAACATTCTCATAGCACCTTGTACCTCTCCTTTAGAGAACTTACTACAATTTGTAACTACACATTTACTTGTGCAATTATGTCTTTGTCCCCCAGCATTCTCTTTGGACCAAGTTCCATGCAGAAAGACTATCCTTAGGAATTCTGTTCTGTAAAGCTGCTTTGCCTCAGAGCTATGATCCTGTGCTTTTTGTGCAAACCCTGTTTGACAACAAAAGAAGCTAATGCTTTTTATTAGTGTTATATCAGTCCTCAAAGCTACAATAAAATAAGCCACAGCTGAGAAACACACCAAAAAGATTTTTCATAATGAAAAGGCAAAGAAAGGAGAGCAAAGTTCAGAAAGAAAGGGAAAAAATGTAGATACCTTATACTCTTGATCTGGAAGCATGTTGAGTAAGAAAGTTACCATCTTCTGAGGGAATTCATACTTTATAGTCCAAAACAATAGTTCTTCTAGAAAACTTTTATGTTTCAAAACATCCATTATAGATTGATCTACATAAAAAAAGAAAACTTATCACCTAATGATTTAAGTTGTTCATCGCATTTAAACCTTACTATAATTAATAATCCATCAACCTCAAACACCTGAATGTATATAAATTAAGGATACCTTTTCATTAATTCAATAATGCTGACATCATCAATTCAGATTTCTATAATCTCCATAGTATAAAATAGCAAAATACTCAATCTTTATGTTTTAATAGGAAGCAGGTACTAGAAAAATAAGTAATTATCTCTCCTTAAACATAAGCACTTTATCTAAAGTTTCTAAGATTCAAAATAATTATGGAACAGTCATGGTACTGAATATTTACAGTAATAACAATTTTAAGCTAAAAACAAAATATCAAAGCCAGAAAGCCCAAAATTATTACATCTTTTGATTTTTAATTTTTAGAGAAAGGGGGAGAAATTTTTATAGAATTCAATAATTTATTTCTTTAAAATTGTTCTTCATAAATGAAATACTAACTTTCCTGCAGGAAATAATTACTAATGTATTGTTTACTCTAGTATATGGAAGCACTCACTTTTTTTCCGGAAAGAATATACCAGAACAAGTATAAAGAGTGTTATACATACATGCTTACTTGCACTGCACTCAAGATGCCCTCTTCACGCACAGAAGAAACAGAAAATGGGTGGTGCCCCCTGGGGTGCCTGAGTGGCTCAGTGATTTCAACTCAGGTTGAACTCTTGATTTCAGCTCAGGTTATGAACTCACGGTTCCTGAGATTGAGCCTCATGTCCAGCTCTACACTAACAATGTGGAGCCTGCTTGGAAATCTCTCTCCCTCTCTCTGCCCCCCTCCTCAAAAATAAACCAACGTGAAAGACAGAAAGAAAATGGATGCCCCTTTTATTTGTGTGTGTTTATTTATTTATTTTAAGAGAGAGAGAGAGTAAATGAGCAGGTGAGGGGCAGAGAGAGAGAATCCCAAGCAGGTTCCATGCCATGAGCGTGGAGCTCCACACAGGGCTCGACCTCACCATGCGAGAAATCATGACCTGAGCTGAAATCAAGCATCAGACACTTAACCAACTGAGCCACTCCGGCACCCCTGGATGCCCCATTTAAATAAAAATATTCAAAAAAGGATAAAATTATCTACTAGACAGCCAATTTCTATGGTGAAGTGCTACTCACTCCTTGAGAGCTACTTTGTCTCCTGCTAATCTCTGCATCCTTGCCACACTTAGTCAACAGAAAGGTCTCAGTGGGTATATAATGAACTGAATATTTTAATACTTTGGTTATTTCTTTCTCTCACTTTCTCTAATTTCTTTCCCTGAAAAAGAACAAGAAAATTCTACTGATTTTTGCTGGAGCCAATAATCTTGGGCTACTGCTCTGGATCATCAGGTCCACATAAGCACATTTCAGAGGACATAGCAAGTGTCAATGGAATGGATTGATTCAGTGATGATGCTTACACAGGGACTAGAGTTAGATGAGAGATTTAAAAATAATAAAATCACATGCACTAAAATACTCAGGAATGACCCAAACTACATTATAGTTCAAGTTGTCTTACAGAGTAATCTTGGAGCATTTTTCAACTGGCCCTACACCTCAGTGGTACAGTTCTATTATTTAGTAATGTGGTCACACCACATCTCCTCAGCTCATAGGTATGCAAATGTAACAGTACGCTCAATACACATGCCATCAACAAGCATGTCATCACTCTCTTGATTCTTCTATAAAATATTCTAGGCTTAACAAGCTTGAATCAGTACTTACTAGACATAACTTTAACCCAGTTTTTTCATTAATAATTGGTAACCCAATATTTTCAGAATACAATTTCATTATTCTGGAGACACGACAATTTTAACTACAGAAAGGCAAAAGTTATGTCCCAATCCCCCAACTCCCTTTCACTGTGCCTTTAGTATAAGCAATATGTAACAGGGATAAAAATATAAATACAATTATACTATATATCCCCTTAATGGAAACTACTTAATTCTTTATTTTCTAAATCTCAGAATTTTCTACTTGTAAAACCAAAATCTCTTCCTCCTGAACTAGATCATTCACAGGATGACAATGATTTAAAAATAGAAATAAACCAGTCTTGCAAAAACTGAGGTAAAATATATTCAAAAGCACACACTGACATACTCAAAGCCAAAAAAGCAATAAAATTAGGGCCCAAGTGAATCAGATGACAGGAATATGAGGATTAGAAATTAAAATTAGAATGTAACCCAGAGCATATTGCTGATGCCAATTTAATTCGCACAGTTCATTTAGCACTAACATGATTGAAAATTTTACAGACTACCAAAAAAATTTAAAAACCTTCAAGGATAAGTGTTTCTAAAAATATTTGCAAAGCTAAAAAAACTTGTGGTATTAATCTTAGAATTCACAGGACTCTGCAAGTTTGCAATTGTCAAAGGAAAGCCTGAAGCTACCATAATTATTATATGTCAAGTATTTAAAAAGAAAGATACATTAACTTTGTTTTAAATAAATAAAGCAAGCCAAATGAACCAGAAAAGCTACTGCTTCTACTAAAATGTAAATAGCTACAGTTGTGTACAATTCAATTTTTTCATCTTCAGACAAAAAGCAAAGAAAAAGCCCACAATGTCTTCATTGCAGTCGTTCTTAAAATAGATGATGTCAGTTTCTCCCAGATATTTAAAACATGTGTGGGGTGCCTGGGTGGCTCAGTCAGTTGAGTGTCAGACTTCAGCTCAGGTCATGATCTTGAGTTTCATGGGTTTGAGCCCCACGTTGGGCTCTGTGCTGACAGCTTAGAGCCTGGAGCCTGCTTAGGATTCTGTGTCTCCCTCTCTCTCTCCCTCCTCCCTCCCCCTTTCAAAAATAAACATTAAAAAAAATGTAAAAAATTTTAACAAAAAAATAAAACATGTGTGATGGGCTTTGTGTGCTATGTTATGGAAATGTGGTTAAAAATGCTTCCAGGGGGCTTGGTATTAGTTTGTTGCCGCCCCTGACTTCAGGCCAGGTCACGATCTCGCTGTCCCAGAGTTTATTCCACGCGGGTTTCATTACGGCTCAGGAGCCTGAGTGCCTGTTCGATTCTGTGTCTCCCCTCTGCCTCCCCTCACTGTTTCATATGTGTGCCTGTCTCTCTCTGTCCCAAAAATAAATAAACGTTGAAAAAAAAAAAAAAAAAGAAATGCTTCCAGTAGTTATGTAGGACTACATATTTACGTTAAAATCTGGATTAAATTGTCATGACTTTTACAATGCCAAAACTACCTTAAGCCAAACAAACAAACAAAAAAAAATTGAACAATCAGTTATGTGGTGGAAAATCTGTGGGTAAGGTAAAGGTTTTAATTAAACAGTAGAGTCCAGGCTCTATAACTCAGGAACTCAATAATTTTGGCCAATAAACGTGGCCTTCTAGGCCTCAGTTTTCTCATCCTTAAAATTTAGGTTTTGAGAATACACAGTGAGTTTGTGTAGCACAGAGCTTCAACCTCTTGCCTATCATTACATATTTTCTTTTCAGCTCCCTTTCTAACCACTGAACCAAATTCTTACAAAAACTACACCACTCCCTGGACTACCAATATCTTCAAAAGCAACAATCATTTTTTGAAAACAGGGGTTCTACTAATTCAAATGGCTATTTCTTCCATGCACATAATTAGGGCAAAAATGATAACTGATCAAGTCTTAAATCTCTGTACTACTCCTCACCAGTGGAAGAAGGAAGAGAAGATAATCAATCCAATCTCAAATATGAAAAAATCAGGTATAAAATAAGCTCCAACTTTAAGTCTCCATAAAAAGTATCTTCAGCCAAAGTCTGACCAAAGGAAAACAATGTTACACCATAACAGGTATTTTTTTCTGGGCATCCCTAAAGCTTAAACTGAAGTATGTGCCTAACAGTCTGCTTCAATTCAGATGTTACCTCAAGAACTCAGGTAAACACAAAGACAACTCTGGCAAGTCAAAGGGCCAGGCAGCCATATGAGTTTCTAATTTCCTTCAGACATTAAAAAGATATATGCACCCCTATGTTTACTGCAGTATTATTGACAATAGCCAAGATATGGAAGCAACCTAAGTGTCCATCAATAGATGAATGGATAAGGAAAATATGATATATACACACAACAGAATATTAGGCAGCCATAAAAAATGATGAAATTATGCCATTTGAGACAAGAGAATGGACCTACAGGGTATAATGTTAATTGAAATAAGCCAGACTGAGAAAGACAAATACCATATGATTCCACTCATAAGTGAAATCTAAAAAAAAAAACAGAAGAAGAAGAAGAAGAAGAAGAAGAAGGAGGAGGAGGAGGAGGAGGAGGAGGAGGAGGAGGAGAAAGCAGAATCAGACCTACAAATATACAGAACAAATTGATAGCTGCCAGAACAGGTGCTGGGGGTGGGGGGGGTGGGAACCAAATGGGTGAAGGAGAGAGGATAGATGTATAGATATGGGCTTCCAGTTAAGAAATGAGTAAGTCACAGGAATGAAAAGCAGACCATACAGAATACAGTCAATGATATTATAATAGTGAAGTAACCAGACAGATGGCAGCCACACTTGTGGTGAACAGAGCATAATGTACAAACTTGACAAATCACTAAGTTGTACACCTGAAACTAACATATACTGTGTCTTAACTATACTCAAACAAACAAACAAACAGCAATCAAAACCCAGCAGATTCAGGAAAACCTACCCCTGCAACTACCTAGAAAGAATTTAGATAGGGGACGCCTGGGTGGCTCAGTCGGTTAAGAAGCTGACTTCGGCTCAGGTCATGATCTCACAATCCATGAGTTCAAGCTCCGTGTCGGGCCCTGTGCTGACAGCTCTGGAGCCTGTTTCAGATTCTGTGTGTCCCTCTCTCTCTGCCTCTCCCCCATTCATGCTCTGTCTCTGTCTCAAAAATAAATAAACGTTAAAAAAAAAAATTAAAAGAAAGAATTTAGATAGAAGATCTGCTCCAGGAAGAGAGCTATCACCAAAGATAATTACATTATGGTATAAACTAAGTATAGTAGACGGGGAGGAACCTAGCAAGACTTGTTTGATCAAAGTCTTCTATGTCCCATTGTTTCTGAGTGGCTCGGAAAACATGCATTTATCAAGTACTTACTCTTTTTCCCTTCCTGTGAATTGCAAGTCTTCTCTTTGAAGTCCCAGACCCCTAATCGCTTCTCCTTAGTTCAGAATGACCTAGATGCTGTATTTCGCCTGTCTCTGGAATTTCCATGTTGGTGTGGATTCCCCATATATAAGCGATTAAATCTGACTGTCTCCTATCAATCTGTCTCATGTCATCTTAGTCTGGCTAGAAGGACCTTGAAGGGTTCCCACCACTAGAAATTAAATGCAGCAGCATAAGTACCTCAGAAGAGACTTACAAAATGAGCCTCAACTGAAAGTGCCTGCAGTTCTAAATATTCCTTCCCAAGCAGTTCTAAATATTCTACAAGATACATCAAAATAGTTAATTTAACAAATTCTTTTCATCAAAATAGTAATATAACCTCTGGAAACTCTCTAACAGTGTATACAAACCCAGCATATAGACCACGTTGGTATTTGGAAATCCATGGCAAAAATTCACAGCACAGGCCATCAATTTATAACAAGTACTCTAGAAAAGCTTTTAGTGAGGGTCTAGAAAACATAGTGATTATGAGGTTAAGCTCTGGGACTTGAATTAAGGAACTACTTCCCATTAGCTGTGATCTCTAACATGCCTTCATTTCCTCATTCATAAAATAGTCATAACAATAATAACAATAATAATAAAAACTGCTTCATATGGTGATTTTAAGAATTAAATGAAATGTGAGGTGCTTAGCACTACGTCTAGCATATGCAAAAAAGTTTTAAAAATATTATTATCATTAATCTATTTCCTCACTACAGACATATCTACTTCCTCCTTTGAGCAAACACATACTGAACCTTTACTGAACCCTTTTTTTTTTAATGTTACTTATTTATTTTGAGAAAGAGAGACAGCATGCGTGATCAGGGGAGGGGCAGAGAGAGGGAGAGAGAATTCAAAGCAGGTTCCATGCTGTCAGCACAGAACCCGATGCGGGGCTCAAACTCATGAACCCTGAGATCATAACCTGAGCACAAATCAAGAGTCAGCAGTTTAACCAACTGAGACACCCAGGCACCCCTTTAAACAACCCTTAATAAGTGCCATTCATTTTAAATCTCTCCCTCCCCCCCACCTCTCTGTCATCATCTCTTCCGTGTTCATCCTTTTTCACTCTAGAAATTGCATACTCCAGATTATAACAAGACGTAAATCAAACTAAAACTTTACACCAAAAACACTGGATCCAAATCAAAGAATCAATGAAAACATTTGTTTTTATGGTTCAAACATAATAATGCGTGTCTTATGAAAAAAACAAGAAACAAAATTCCGATAGTAAGGGTTTCATTTGCTTTTGAGGTCCCCCACAATCACTCCCTAACAACACTTTCTCTATCATTAGACAAATCTAAAAACATAACTCTCTTCAAAATGGCTAGCCAATAAGTGTTCTTAATGATTAAACATTTTTAAATTAATGTTTAGATTAAACATTTAAATAAAGTTTTAATTTAAATTCCAGTTAGTTAACACAGTGCAGTATTAGTTTCAGGTGTACAATACAGTTATTCAACACTTCCATATAATACCCAGTGTTCATCACAACAAGTGTACTCCTTAATCCCCATCACCAATTTAATCCATCCCCACACCCACCTCCCCTCTGTCAATCACCAGTTTGTTCTCTATAGTTAAGAGTCTGTTTCTTGGTTTATATTTTTAGCTTTTTATACAAGGAAAAAAACGAATATAAATACCTTTGGTGCTACTGCTTAGTTTGACCCTCTTTCTCTTGCCCAGACCTTGACTCCCATCTTGATCCTCCTGGAGAAAAACAAAATTAGCATCATGTACAGTCCTATTCATGAATGTACACATTTTACACAAATATAAATATGCTTATAAATTATGTTAAATATATAACACAGGCATGCTTCCATAATATTAACACATTTTACTTTTATGTATTTACCGTAATAAAATATACTTTTACTTTAAAATTAGCATTATAATTAAAATATATAATGAAAATCCTTAGTATTAAAATACAAGAGCTCTTAAATTTAATCTGTGCTTAAAAAAAATTTTTTTTAA